GCCTACAGCACTTTACTGGCACATTAAATAAACATATTAAACATGGGACTCAGATCAAGCACTTACTGTAGATCTCCCATTAAAGTAAAGCAAAAAATGTAACAGATTTTTTTTTTTTTGCTAGAATATAAAAATACAGAAAGAAATGTCACCAGAGGTAAGCAGATGCTTATATATCCTTGAAATATGATATATGAAAAATAACAGTAAAATATGAAACATGAAATATGGCAGGATTAAATCAACAAACTCCTCCCAAATTTACATTTGCATCTTCATTATTTTGACATATCAACAATTATAGGTTATACTGACAAATATTAATTAGATATGACTCATTGCCTACATTATAGCACCTGTGGAGTTACATAACCCATACAGACAGTGATGCTGTAAGATAAATATTTCATATGTGTGCCTTAAGCATATAATATAGTTCATTAGTCTTAAGCAGCTCCCCCTTGTTTTACATCAGCCATTATATTAATATAAATATTATTTTTAATTAGCAAAATTTGGTAAGCGCTTATATCAAGCTCATTATGAAACGCCCAGACCATTTCAGTGAGTGAATGGTGAATTTGTAGATTGGTTAAATCAATTGATTCATAAATATTAATATCTCAAGATTGCTGAACGTCCAGCCTGGCATTCCAGAACTGAAGTCCAAGAGGCTCCCAAACGTGGGTCCGGTGACAGAACTGAGCCGTACCCTGGGCAGCAAAACTCTCTCTATCCTGCTCTGATCTGATGAATCACAGATACTCAGATGCTTTGATGTGCCATATTATCCTCCCTCAACTTATTCTATCTCTCTGCTTCCCTCTCTCACACTCTCTCTCTTCTTCTCTCCTCACTTTCCCTCCTCCCCAGAGCTTCCTGCGCATCTTCACACATCCTTCTTCTCTCATTCACTCCATTTGTCTATTCTCTGTATCTCTCTCATCTGTTTCTCTCTCCTTCTTCTCTTCTCTCCTCATTAAAGAGCGTGTGCTTGAGTCATCCTTCGGGTAACAAGCACTGCCAGGTCTCCCTGAAGGGTGGTGTGTGTGTGTAGGAGTCTGATGCAAGTCTTTTTACCTCGGTCCAGTTCAGTTATTTGTCTCAGCGTGTGATAAAAATGTCTTTCTCTCTTGATGCTACTTATTTTCACTTTAAAGTGAATTATATGTGCATATTAATATCTAGTGACGTGAATCTGCTAGCCATGTCATGTGGTGCCTTTCAGTCACATTTTATGTCATAGCTGTCATTATATACGTCAAGAAAGAAGAAAGAAAGACTGCTGTTGCTTTTAGTTCAATAAACAAGAAGATAATACTAAGTGACACAATGCTACGTTTACATTCCGTCAATAAAGCCACATCAGAATTAATTGTTGACTCCTAGAAACACAAACAGGTTGAGGCATTTTGTTTCCTGAATGAATCCGTGTTTTTTTAACAAATCGTTTGAGTGAATGATTCAATGACTCAATTATAAAGACAGTCTGGTGTTTTGTTCCGCAATAAAATCTGTGTTCTTGGGTGAATTGTTTGAATGAATGATTCAGCGACTCTCTCATAAAGACATTCAGTGGTTTGTTTCTGAATGAATCAGGGTTTGGGAACAAATCGTTGATTCAATTACTTGCTTATAAAGATAGTCTGGTGTTTTGTTCCGCAATAAATCTGTGTTCTTGAGCAAATCGTTTGAGTGAATGATTTAATGACTTACTCATAAAGAGTCAATGGTTTGTTTCTGAATAAATCAGTATGTTTGAACAAATTGTTTGAGTGAATGATTCAATTACTCGCTTATAAAGACAGTCTGGTGTTTTGTTCCGCAATCCATGTTTTTGAATGAATCGTTTGAGTGAATGATTCAGAGACTTACTCATAAAGAGTTCAACGAATCGGTTGAGTGATTCAGTGACCTAAAGACAGTCATTTGTCCCCTCCTACTGGCGTAATGATGTAACCTGCAGACTATTGTGATTGTAATAAGAAGTGAACTGAACTTCTAAATGTCATCTGCACATCTATATAAAAATAAATGTAAAAAAAACACTTTTTTTAGAGTCATGTCCTACATTGGACATTAGATCTTTGTTCTGACATTTTTTTCTGGAGACATCCGTTTTACAGCTTTCCCACAGTATCATGACGAAAATTTGAGCAATATATGTTGATTCATCCTTGTCCAGAATTCAAACTTTTTTAGTTTTCATCTAGGATTAATAATAGGCAGTGGAGTTTGCTTTTATCCAGCTGAACGCATATGACAGAACTGTAGCTCAGCATTAACTGCACTGATGTCATCTGGGGTTACTTGTCTGATTCTATTTGAATTTAAAAGTGGAATTTATAATGAAATGCAAATGTATTCACACAGCTCGTTTATGTGCCAAAAGGACCCAACACTAAAAGTCCACAAGATTGCTTCGCTTTCTGAACGACTCCTACTCGATAACAAAGGAATGCATGTGATTGCAAATGTTTCATCATCTGATTGCATTAAAGGTTTTGATTGAAGAACGTTAAGAACCGGTTACTTCACACAAATCATTGCAATATACAGCTACGGACATTCATTTTTGTGAAACTGTGTCAAAGTTGCTTGTCACAGTTCTGACTGAATGTTTCATGCAGCCCAATGCAGTTAGGACAGAAAGAAAACAGGTACATTTACATAAATCAAATGTCATGCTGACAGCATTTTTATTTACACCTAAATAAAGACTAGAATTGCTTCCAAAATCCGTGAAATTAGATTCATTTAAACATACAAGCAAATGTCAAGTTTTTCTTTCCTATCCGAACTGCATTACTTTTCCCTAAGGGGCCCTAAATGAATCCCATACTTTGACATCAGAGGGGTGGAGGTTTCTGATAAAGAGGGAATATTGTGAAAGATGTCTCTGACCTCATGGGAGTTACTCTCAGAGAGTGTGTGTAGAAAAGCATCATGGGTATTATGCAATAATCGTACCAAAATGTACCATCGTACATCTTTGCACCTCATGGGAAACTGTAGCAACTGACAAAGACTTGTTTGCAGGATATAATTATCACATTTTATTACAAAACAATTCACAGGGCATTTTCTTTGGTTACATGAGTCAGCAGGGCACTCATTATTTTTGAGGGGGCACGAGTTGGGGGGCGAGCCCACAGAAACACTCCTCATGATGAATGTGTTTCTTCAGCTGGGATGATGATGGTGATGGTGATTTGAGCTGCTCCCTCAGGCACTGAACTGAACCAAACAGCCTTGTAAACCAATGAAGGATGAAGGTTGAGTGTTCTCGAGCGGGAGAATTTAGGTGAAAGAGTGTCAGAGCTTTACACTATTATAGCAATTCTGAGTTCAGACTTCCTCCACAGTCCATCCAGAACAAGTCTGAAAGTCTTGCAGTAGCAAAAACAGCATTTTAAGGGTCCGAAATGATCCTGAAAACTAAATTATGATTGTTTTTTGTTCCAAGAAACTGACTGCTGTGGGCCTTAAGGGTCAAATTTGGCCCCTAAAATGCTTATGAAACAGGTTTGCGAACTTACAGACTGACCAAAATGAAGGTCATCGAGGTCCGCGTGCCGAAACTCACCCCGAGATGGACTGTAATCGACCTCAGGACGGCTCCTCTAACAGATAATTGTATCTTATCCGTGATGGTCAAAGTAACCTAATAATGTAATCTATTAACTATGCATAAAAACCTGTCTGTTTACTTAACAGATATGGGTGTCATGCCATTACATATTTTTAATACGACTGAGTTTATATTTAATGTGAATTTAACATTGAAAGCTAATGTGAATAAAATCATTGCAAGTTAGGCTACTAATCATAACACTTTCATTGTACAAAGAGAGCAAAGAACATTTACATTATCATCAAAGAACATTTTCACTGACAGTCTAGTTCAAGCACTCTCAAAAACTCCTATTAAAAGCACTGAAGCTGTTTACACTGTGAAATACAGAGTCGTACACACATTTGCACTTTGTTGTTTCTGACGAGAGAATTCGCCAGAAAGAGGTATTCAGTCAGCGAGCGAGTGAAGAAAACACCGGCATTTTAGCGATGAGTCATCTGAACACCTCTGATTGGTCATTGCATTCATAAGCTCAACAGCATCTTGTGTGATTGGTTAATGCGCAGTGCTGTATAAACTCGTCTATCTCTGGCTTAGCACCAGATTTGAATTTAGCAGCTGATGATATGACGCACTGAACATTCTAATCACGCCGGTGTGATTGTATTAAATATAGAAAATATGAATCGGCTGTTTTTGTCTTTTGGGAGCTGCATTCAAAATTCACTTGGCTCAAAAATCTGAGGGGGCACGCAGGGCCGCATTAAGACCTTTTTTATCTGCTCCATGTGCCCGGTCCACTTGCTGTTTCACAACTACTCCATCATCAGCTTTAGTAAAATAACCTGATAGCTGGGGATTTTACGGACCAACTCATGTTTTCCCCTCTCTCCTCATTTTTTTTAGAATAGCCCATCTCTCACTTTCTTTTTAGAATAGTGTACATTTTTACTTATCGAAGATTGTTCTTTGCATGACCATTTCCAGATTATGCCAGAACGAAGTTAAGAGAGGTGAATGCGGACATTGCAGTGATCACCTGATTGATACGTGGTGCAGCACGGGTCGTTCAAAAGTAAAATAAAGAATAAATGCATTTGATTGGTAAACCAAATTCAAACGTGACGTATTAATCTCTAAAGGTAATGCATGGAATATATGGAAAAGCTCCACTAAATAATAGCGCTAATGTGAGGGGCGGGGCTTTGGCAATCGGCGCTACCGCGATGACCAGTCAATCTACTCCACAGCCAATCACGGGCCCCCTCCTTGTCCGGGCCCCGGGGCTTCAGCCCCGCCTCACCCAATGGTTAATGCGGCCCTGGGGGCACGTGCCCCCTCACTTTGAATGGGCATGAGGCCTCTGTGAGTCAGTATAATTATGCCTCAGCTGTTCTCTAAATTCTTTGTTTCTCTCTCACAGGTGTATATGAGCACTGAATGTGTGCACGCCATCATGAAGATGTCATACTGTCCTCACTGTAGCGGCGTGGCTTTTGCCAAACCCTGCTCAAACTACTGTAGGAATGTCATGAAGGGCTGCCTCGCCAATCAAGCGGATCTAGACTCTGAGTGGAGGAACTTGGCAGGTAGGCGGGACCAAGAAGGAGCCTTAATAGAGCAACAGTCAGGTCCTGGAAGTAAAAATTTCAAGTCACTTTCTACATTCGGAAATTGATTTTTAGTGATAACATATAAACGTTTAAAGACAGACCTGTTGTGAGCTATGAGGTTGTTAAATGATGGTATATGCAAATATAAATATGTATGGTATGTACAAATTTAAATTGAATAATTTTATGTTTTATTCAGTAATGCCATTCAAAATGTTTCATGGGATTGTAGTTATTTTCTTATTTTCAAATACTTTGCTTTAAACCCAATTTTAAATGTTGTGATTTACCTCATAGCTGGTTGGTCTGGTTGATGGCTTAAATGCTTTAACCAAGACTTTGTAAAAATCTCCATGGGAAAAATGAATGGAAAAAATACTTCCAGAACCAACACAATGGCACTTTTGTACTCTATTAGAATTCAAATGTATTGTAAAGGACATGTCAGATTGTCACACATGAGATGGACGTCCTCTGACAACATATCAACATGATATAAAGACTTTGTGTTTATGTGTAGATGCTATGCTGGAAGTAGTTGACAAACTGAGCCGGCCTTACAGTGTGGATTCGGTGGTTCTGTCTCTGCCAAAACGCATTGCTGAAGCTATTCTCTACATGCAAGACAACCTCAACACGTTCAACAATAAGGTCAGTGCTACACTATAAACCTGTCTGAAAAGACTTAACTTTTATTATATTAAATCATAAATATATCCCATGTCCTCAACAATTATGATCCTAAAACTTTATTAAACTCCTGCCTATGGAATCTTGAGCTAGAGTTAACCAGAACCCTTTCCTGTTCTTCAGGTGTTTCAGGCATGTGGTTCTCCTGTTCAGAGCTCCAATTCTGAGGACCAGATCAAGCGAGGGACAAACACAGCAGAAGAAGTGAGCGGCACCCCAGGAGCCCAGCTGGAGAAACTGGTGAGAGTGTTTGCATGGTGTGCAGTAGTAGTTTTTGCTTCAGGACCCTGCTTTACATCGGACATCAAGTGGCAACCCAGCACAGTAACAAATGTACAAAACTGATGAACACTGATGTTTATTAACCCATTAAAGGTTGATGATTTTGATGAGTATCATATTTGATAAATAAGGCTTTTATGGCTCATTTAGTATGATATAGAAGAAAATAAAGCTCATACTTGAGGAGGGGGAAAAAAATATTTATTTCTAAAAAAACAAAATGTATGCAGCTGCTCAAACAAAGCAAAATATGCAATTTGGTGCGGTTGCTAATATTTATATGGCCGAAAAGTAAAATTAATTTCTAATAGTTTGTAAAGTAAATCAATGAGATTTTTTATAACAGTATATAAATATCAGTCGTCACTCTATATCTCCCAATATTACGTCTTAGTAAAATTATATTTAAATGCTTAGTTGTAAAATTGTAGATTTTATTGTGGAGGGAAAAACATATAATGCTATGCCATACAGTGATGATTGAGAGATGGACAAATAAACATTCTTCAATAGCCTGATGTATGATATTTGATACTTACATTTTAATATGTAATAGATTTCACTTCAAAAAGACACGTGAACCATGACCTGAAGAAAGATGTTTTTAAAATGATACTAAAAGGCCTTTTACGTGCTAAAATGAATAAACAATCAATCAGACCACAGAATGCATGTAGTAGATTGTGTACAACAGGTTTTTCAGCAAACTTTTGATAATTTATAGGACTTAAACATTTGCATATCAAATATGACACAAGAGGCTTTATAGGGTTAATATTACTGTGAACTGCACAGGCTCAATAATATGCAAAATGATAAATGTCACCATATGCTGAGTAGGAACATTTTGTAAATGCATAAACAACAGCTCAAGTGTTATTTATTTTATTATTTGTAATTATAAATATTTTTTCGTTGCTGTCTATGACCCTGTTTGTGAGATCACATTTTCCATCCCATTTTCTTTCTCTCAGTTATCCGATGTGTCCAGAATGTTGAGGGATATGATGCAGTACTGGGTCCATTTGCCCAGAAAACTGTGTGTGGATCGCGAGTCTGGACCGAGTGAAACAGACAGATGTTGGAACGGAATGAATGTGGATAGGTAAATGCACATAAACAGCTCATTCAGCCTCATTCATGTACAGTGACTACATGATTATTTTATAGCAATTTTATAGTACAAAATCTGTAGCTTTTCAAAAGCTGGGGAGCACATATGTCACTTATCAATCACAAAATGTGTACTCAGATCTTTGTTTTTTTTACTGTCTGTCTGCCTCTCAAACACATCACATTCATCTTTCTTGTTGTGTTGTGTTCTGTCAGGTATCTGCCAGACGTGATGGGAAACGGATTGGCCAGTCAGATCAATAATCCTGAGGTGGAGATTGACATTACCAAACCAGACATGACTGTACGCAAACAGATCATGCAGCTTAAGATAATGATCAACCGACTGAAGTACGCCATCAATGGAAATGATGTGGACTTCCAGGACACCAGTGAGTATACACATACACTTGGAGTCTTTCGGGAAGAAATTAATACTTTTATTCAGCAAGTAACAGTATAGACATTTATAATGTTCCAGTTATGAAATAAAGGCACTTTTGAACTTTCAAGGAATCCTGAAAAAAAAAATGTATTACAGTTTCCACAGAAATATTAAGCAGCACTTTTTTTTTTCAACATTGATAATAATAAATGTCTCTTGAGCAGCAAATCAGCATATTAGAATGATTTCTGAAGGATCATGTGACACTGAAGACTACTGAAGTAATGACTACTGGCAATTCAGCTTTGGCCATGACATCAATAAAGACATTTAAAATATATTTAAATTCATTATATTTCAAAATATTAGTTAGGGGTTCAAGCGCGTAGCTCTGAAACCCTGTTGTAATTGTTACAATGGCCAAGGATCAGCAATCTCCACGTAAAAACTGATCAGGCAGACCAAACCGTAAGTCGTAGAGACTTGAAACTTGGAGGAATGGTAGTACTCACACCGTCTACAACATCACCAAGGCTCACCCCAATCGGCCTGACGGGGGCGCTACAGCGATCAAGAGTACGAAATCGCTCATAACTCCTAAGCCGTTAGTCTCAGGCTCAAGTGTCTTATATCGTTGGAATCCTTGGCTCATGCCCGGATTGCCTGGGTTGTGGACAAAAAGATCAAACAACTTTGCCTCTAGGACCACTGCTGTTAATCAAATTGTTCTTTAAATATTTGACATTATTTAAAAAAAATAAAAATAACTACTTTTGCGAGCTATTTCTAGGTTTTACACTCAAAAAACTTATAATTCTCTGGGTCAATAATTATAAAAAAAAAGTTGAACTTTCCCCTTTAGATAGCTATAACAGGGTCATTTAGAAAATGGGTATGGCCAAATATACCCCAAAGCCTATAAATCCTAAATGAAAACTCAAAACTTCACAAAACTGGGTGAGCACATGTGGCAGTACAATTCTCTGGACCCTGTAGGTCAATAACTATCAAAAAAAAAAAAGTTAAACTTTAGACTTTGGTTAGTTATAACTGGGTCATTTTTAAAAGAAGTGTGGCCAAATATACCCCAAAGCCTATAAATCCTAAATGAAAATTCAAAACTCTATAACACTCATAAATGTTAGAAATCATATTTTTCTATGGTACATTACCTGGATTTGCCAAAATAGCTTTATTTAATCATTGATATAGGTGGTTACAGTCAGACTTGCTAAATAATATGTAATGTGTTTTTTTTATTTGTACTTAAATGCCTTAAAGCGCTTGAATCCCGATAATCACTGCTTGCAGCTATATTTTTTTACTGTATTTTTGATCAAATCAATAATTTAAAATTTGGAACACTTTTAAAAATCTTACTGAACCCAAACGTTTGAATGGCAGTGTATAAGAAGGTTGCTGTGGATTTCACTATGGAAAATAGTAAATGATTTATTCTTAAAGTCAGTGACATCAAGTCAACAGTTTAATAGTGATCCATCATTGCTGATTTGGCTCTATAACAACGGCCATTAGTTTCTGTAAATAGTTTGTTCACAATTCAAGAATTTTCCAGAATCCCCAGTTTGAGAAACAACAAGTTAAATGACTGTACATTCAAAACATCAGCTAACTGTTGCTGTTAAATTGTAGTTTAACTTACTAAAATGAGTCAGATTCAAAACTAATTTAAAAACATCTACTGTCAGGCTACAAAAACTTAAGTTAAGTTAGAAGTGCAGCTATTTTAAATGAGTTACTCTTCGATCCTGGTATGTGGCTTCATCATTGCTGTGGAACGTTCCTGAACTCTGTCTCACTTCAGCTCATGAATCTCCCCGTTGTGTTCTCATCTTTAGGTGATGATATCAGCGGTTCAGGAAGTGGAATGTGTGCCGACGATCAGTGTTCTCGTGATACACGTTTATCGGCCCCAAACACGGACAAACCCAATGTATACGGCTATCCGTCAGAGAACAAGAAGGTGGTGAAAGGAAGAAGCAGCCAGAACCTTCCTTGCGTCAGCCTCTGCCTTCTCTCACTGGTCACAGTCTTGCTCAGGCGATAATTGACAGGCAATTCCACCAACTGGGACTACTGAGTACAGGACTGGGTTGGATTGTGGAGGGGCGGGGTTAGTCACATTGCCAAAACAAACATGCAAACATCAACAGAAACTGGCAATCACTTTTTTTTGTGTTGAATAAGAACACCATGGAATATTCATAGATCTGTGTACTTTTTTGTATCTTATTTGATATATGACACCCCTAGAGCTGGTCTTTTGCTTGTCTTTATGTCTGTGGTGAAAAAGTTCTCTGAGAATGCGCCAATCTGTAACAATAGCTATGAAAATCCACCCCAACAAACAAAATGCTGGTTTTTCCTTATTCAAAAATCATTTTAGATTATATTTATTTATTAATTAAGATCCATAGCTTTAAGTCGTCTCTGACCCCTCAAGCTTGAGAATGTCCTTCAGCACTCGATCAAAGTGAACAAAACATCTAAAAGAACCGTGTGTTCTTCTTATCTTTGTTTTAAGGCTTTTCTAATCATAAAAACAAGCTTTACTGAGTCTTGTTTCATGAAGACCAGCTGTCTCTCTCTCCCATTTATTGTACTAGTTTCTGCACTCCGCTTTGCAAATGGGTTTCAGGGGCCATTTTAAAGAAAATGCAACATGTATTTACTCTGGATGTAAATAAACGTGTACTAACCACAGTCACATTTTCAGTATATCCATGAGGACCCTCAACAGCACTAGAGCAACATTTGGGATGAAACGTTAATGCACCAGCAATGAGAAAGAGACAGGCGTGTTTTATGATGCACTCTAATCCATGGGACAGATATACAATGACCATCATATCAGAAAGGGATTTTACATGCGGGAAAAGACAAGCCGGAGAATGAAAGACTCGAAACCAGAGGGATGTGGAGGGATTTCTGGACATTGTTAATTGGATATTGATTCAAACCTCACAGAGATGTGTGTGTTATGTGTGAGTGCACTTCAGAGAAAGCGTTGCTTTGTAAGTACTCACTATACAAATATACACGTGTACTCAATACATGCTGCATCCACGTCAGATCAGATTAGTTCAGTGAGTCACAGATGTGTGTCTAAAATTTTTCTCAGCCCTGCACCCTGCCCTTCGTTAGCAGACAAGTTGGATGGTACGCATAGAGTGTTGGTGAAAACAGTATCGGGCAACATTGAGCTAATGTTTGCATAACATTTTACCAATGAAAGTGTGTCAATTGTAGGTATCAATCATACTCTATGCAAGTATGTAAATGCAAATAACATAACACATAAGCATGTATACTAATATTTTTGCGTCAATGTAGCGAAAGCACACCTTAATACTCAAGGGGGCAATGGAGTTACCATCAAATGTTTGCGTTATTGAATCAGTTGTTGTTGTTGTTGGTAACTATATCTATAAATATGTTGACTGTTGGACTAACTTGAACTAGCTTGCTAAGCTAAATAGCATGCATGCCTCCCATACTTATGTTACATTATGAAATACACAGTCTAATTTCCAGCATCCCCATCACCTTACAGAGGAAAAAGTGGTTTGGAGAATAGATGGATGTTTGAAATGACGTAAGCATGCATACTAATATGCATTTTTGCGTTAATGTAACAGTAGCACAACTTAGTACTGAAGGGGGCGATAGAGTTATTATCAAATGTTTGTGTTATTGAATTGAATGTCATTGTTGTTCAGGTTGCTATAGCTATAAACATGTTGAATGCTGGACTAACCTGAACTAGCTTGCTAAGCTAAATTCACTTCAAACTGTTGCTCCGTCGTGATTGTAGGTAAAAAGTTTGCTAAAGTGGGCTAATGCCCACAATAGTGCACCTTTCGCACTTGTGTTATGAAACACGTTAGGCTAATTTCCAGCATCCCTGCAACTCTACAGAGAATAAGTGGTTTGGAGAATAGATGGTTGGTTGAAATAACGTAAGCATGCATACTAATGTGTGTTTTTGCGTTAATGTAGCAATAGCACACCTTAGTACTCAAGGGGGCGATAGGGTTACTGTCAAATGCTTGCTGGATGTGTTCAGGTTGCTATAGTTATAAAAATGTTGACTGTTGGACTAATTGAACTAGCTTGCTAAGCTAAATTCACTGTGGCTCCACCATGATAGTAGGTCAAATTTTGCTGAAAGTTGCTTAATACCCACAGTGCACCTTTTGTACTTATGTTACATTATAATATACATTGAAGCTAATTTCCAGCTTTCCCGTGACCCTACAGAGGGTAAGTGGTTTGGAGAATAGGTGGACGGATAAACGCAATGTAAAATCAAGCATAGCTAGAAGCATTTGTGTTCTCATACTTGCATAGAGTTTCAGGCCGGAGAGAGAATGACACGTTTTGACCAAACCTGAGAAGAGCGTAATTTTTATGAACTTTGCGTTTGTAAAGGTTACAGGAAGTGATGTAATTGTCCTTAATGATGATTAAGGTTGCCACTGGCTCTGCAGAGAAAGTGCTTCAGTTTCGGTCACTATGAAGTAGTGTACAGATCTGACCGGGTCAATGAGATGGAGAATAACACCCCCTCCCTTCCAGTTTAGAAATGCTGCACTTTGCATGACGCACGCGGCCACGGCCGCATGACTACAGCACATGATCCGGGGTCGATAACAGAGAAACATCCCACGGCAGTGTTATGGATGGTTTGTTGATCGATTGGATCAGATGTGGTTGGAGAAATGGACCCGCGGCACAATTCACTAACCATCTGTAGAGTGATCTGACCTGAAATCAGTCTTAACTGTCTTTAGCACGTTTGTTGAATTATTGACAGTTGGTAGTCTGACCCCAGGTCAGGTAAACCGTCCCACCTCTAGGTTCAATGGTGTAACGGTGGTCGCTCTTTACTGATGAATGTGGCTGATATCATCAAAATGTGCTGAGATGAAAAAAATGAAAATGCATTCTGGTATATACTTTTTTTTTTTTTTTAAGGTTGTTTGTGTTTAAGGTTGAAAGTAGAACATTTTGAAGAGACTGAGGAAATTATATACTGTCCATTGTTGGTGTATGTTCTTTAAAAAAAAGAGGAGAAACCCTTGTGTCAATTATATAGATCAAAAGATTTTGAAAATATCTGTGTCATTTTGTTCACACACACACACACACACACTCACACACTGATACCCAAGTGCTTTGCATCTTAATTGCACATCACAAATTATATTATAAACACAGGTTAATTGAATTGTAAAATTTTTTAATGTAGAAAACGTTGAATATCCTAGCATTTGATATGATTACAACATGCAGACATAACCAATAACTTAAAAAAAAAATACTGTGTGATATATTTGAAGCTTTGTGGCTTTTAGTCTGTCACCTCTGAAGCCATGTTCAGTATATACACTTCTAAAAGTTGTAAACATGAGCTTTGAGGAGAAATTGTTCTTTTCTGAACACAACAGATAAAAATATTAGTGGCAAAACGCGGTGGGGCTACTGGGGGGTTTCGCTGGCGGTGCGAGGCGGGCGCAAGCGGTGCTACTGCACTCCAAATCCTGCCGCTTTCTCTCGTAGTGGAAGCGTTTTGTGCAGTTATGCTACAACGGTATAAACGGAGAGAGAGATACAACATTGCAAGCATATAATTAGCCTATGATGACCATGGACCTCAGAGATCATCCTCAGATACCACCTTGAATAGATGTGGCCTTACTTCATAAATAAACGCAGGTTAGATTTTTTTCTTCCTCACCCTCCGTTTCTGACAGGTCGTGTAGGTGAAGGCGGATGTGAGAAACCCTCACTTAAAGGCACAATATGTAAGATTTTTTTATTAAAATATCCAAAAACCACTAGAACAGTGTTATATATTTTGCTGACTTGTGTACTTACATTATCCCAAATGTTTCGAAGAATGTTTAAATCCAGAGAAATAAGCAATTTTAACTAGTGACACGGACCGTGTCCATAGTGTCATTGTGTCGCCTGCCAATGACGTCATAACCCCTCGATTTCCGATTGCACAGAGTAGCATTATAACAGAACGTTCAAATGTATCTAGTATTATAAAATAGCGCTGCTTTTTTCCCCACATACGCACGACCGGAAGGAGCAGAAGCAGTCGACTTTGGCATAATAAAAGCTCTGCTGCTTTCGAGCCGTGTGTCGTGCTCGTTCAGCGGCCTCGTTTCGCTTCGACGGCTTTCAGCCTCACCCTGCTTCATTTTACTACGTTAATAAATCATTAGCTCATCCATGAACATGATTTCTGCCCGAGTCCCGTCGGATTGCATCGGCTGTGGGGATGAAGACGACAACTCCCATGATTCCACACTCAGTCACGGCGTCATCAAACTACGCCTTTGCTTCTTTGTTTATTTTGAATATGCGCCCTCCAGCGGCGAAAATTACATATTGTGCCTTTAATGTAAATGTAATTTATTTAAATCAAGTGTGGTTTTTGAAGTTAAAAAATTTAAACAAATGGGTCTTAGTAAATTTTGCCATTTAGTTTATTCTCATTCAACGAAACTGTTTCCAAATCCAAAACAATCCCAAGCTTTAGCATTGCCATTAACATTAAAAAAAAAACCCGGGCCAGAATTTATAAATGAGTGGAGCGGAACGACAGAGATCCCCGCTCAAAGTGTTCTGTGATCACTCCACTCCGGGTTTTCTCGCTCGCCTCTTTCTGGTGAGGAAAAACACTACCGATCAATCTTAAAATTTTATTACAGGCACTTGTCCAGGTCACCTGACAATTGTAACATTTTTATAATACAAATTAATACATAACTCTTTTGTAAAGAGCTATAGATCTGGCAGATATTTGCACTACAATATGCCATTATTATGTGTCCTGTGAATGTCTTTACTATGAACAGTTCTGTGAGACTGAAATTTAAGACCAAAACGACCCCTTTCTGCACATTTGTTTACAGTATTTGTGCAATACACTAAAGAAGTGTGAGAACCAAGATTAATATTTCAGTGTTATGCACTATTTTCTCTTGTATTGCTGAAAACCATGAAAGAACACACATCGACCTTTTAAAAATGTTTTCCTCTCAGCTATTAGGGTCTGTTCCAATGTTTTCCTCCCTCTCACCTGCTCGTCTCCTGGGTAGAGCCCATCTGTGCCCTCTACACCACTGATGATGTCAACAGCCATTTCCTGTCTAGTTGTGCCAGTCTGTTCATGCCAGTGTATCTGCTCTGGGATCAGTGTCAGTGTCTCATTGATTATTCTGCATAATCTCATTTGTTCTACAACTCGCTCTCTCTATCTCTCTCTCTCTCGACATGCTTGGCTCATGCGGTTTCTTTCTCTTTCCCTGCTGATCAGGTGGGTCTGTGTTAATTTCACCCAATTGTGGAGGTTGATTACTGGAACAGACATCATTCATATTGTGAGCTGCTCTGCAGAGAGACAGAAAACTCTTATCTCTCATTCTGGTACTAAAATAGCATCTTATTGCTTCCCAAAGCACACAGACGCCACGCTCGGTACAGCAGATGGGCAATTTCTACATTAAAAAACATAGGGTTTTATATCCATTCGTTTTGTTTCCACAAAA